CCCCCCCCACACACACACACCCCACACACACACACATACACACACACCCCACGCCCATCCCACACATACCCATACATACACCCACCCACGCACTCAAACACACACACACACATACACCCACACCATTTCACACACCAAACCAACACACATCCACACATACATCAACACATACATCCACACATACATCCACACATACATCCACACATACATCCACAGATACATCTACACATACACACACAAAACGGAGATTCTTGAAGCATCCGATAAGAAAAAACCGACCAGGCTCTGCCTTCACCTGTTCCAACTAATCTCGAATACAGCAGAACATCGCGTCAGACGACAGGACGACCATCGAGGGGACATAATCAAGAAATGACAACGCGAGCAACTTTATGTGTATACCACACAGGTTTTCTTTCTCAAAAGTTATGAAATGAAACTAAATTATTTTATTTTTTTTTAAATGTCAAATGAGGGAAGATTATTATTAGTCTATTATCATTATTTTAAGTATGTTAACCTGTAGAGATCAAGACATTACATCTAGCGACTGTACCATAGCTTAGGGCCCATGGTTTACTACTGGAAAAGTGTCTTTAAGTATCTGTAATATGACTGTTGGGGTAAATCGGTTAAAAAAAAAAATTAAATTTAAGTACAAATATATCAAACGATAATCGTGATTAACACCCTTGCACCAAATAAAAGGAATTAACTCCCCCTTCTGGGTCGCGCTATACAAATAATAAGACTAACTCTTTTACGATTTATTATTTCATTTTTATTTTTAATTTCAGCTTTTTTTTTCCCCCCTTCTTTATGAGTGTTTTGGGTTTACAAAGACTCGCTGACATCAAGGTGACATTTTAAAAAAAAAAAATAATAGAATGCAATTTCATTATTGACGTGTTTCGTATTTTTGAAGCAAAATAAGTCACTTGGTCGATTGTCGGATTCAAGTCGTTCTCATTTGGATAAACATATTTATTTAGTTTTGAGAGTATATTAGGAGAAGCTGAACAGCAGTAACTACAAGAAGATATTAATATAATCTCTAAACAGAAATTTTTGGGGGACACGCTGGTCCCAATCACTTTTTTTCAACAAATGGGCTTAGATACTAGTCTAGACCAATGTTCTCTCTATGGTTTGTTGGTTCGCGCGCAAAATCATGAATTTGTGTGCAAATTTTTACAGCATCGATTTTTTTGTGCGCAAGATTTACAGCCTACAGACACAAACACACCCTTAAGTGGAAATCAGCTGCGCGGTACTCAAAACTGCTGCGCGGCGTCTGTGAGATTGCTGCGCGGCCGCGCAGCCGCGCTGCTTAAAGGGAACATTGGTCTAGACATGTGCAGTTTAATTTTAATCTTAGATTGAAGTCGGAAGAGGCTGTGTGTGTGTTTGTGTGTGTTGTGTGTGTGTTTGTTTGTGTGTGTTGTGTCTGGTGTGTGTGTGTCTGGTGTGTGTGTGTGTGTAGTGGTATAGGTTAGGGTGGGACGCGCGACATGATTATGCTCAAGGAAATTAACTAATTATAAAAAGTGTTGGACTGCGATAAAGCTATGAAATAGATTAATTAACACGTACAATTTGTGTCAATATAACAATATATGGACGCTTTAAAAATAATGTGACATTATCACAAGTATACGTTTCGGCCAATGCCTTCATCAGTACAATAACAAAAACAAAACAATTAAATAAGTATAGATTAAATTTACATTATATATATATATATATATATATATATATATATATATATATAGATATAGATATATATATATTCCTTTTCTGCATGTTTCTTTAATTTGTGAGGCTTGTATAACATATCATTTTGGATCTAGAGTGGCTCCCCTTTTTCATCTGCTGTTAGTAACGCCTTGGTATTCTAAGATAAGACTTAATCTATGATTATAATTTGAACTCCTACGAACCAATGGCAGGACTGCGTTCCAGATAAGAGTCAGTTAAATTGGATGGAAGATACAATTGTTATCTCAAACAAGAGTAACATTCTAGTGTGGTTGTTTTGGTCATTCAATACACATTTATTGTATTCTGTTAGTGCAAATAAATTATTTATAAGTTTTCTTCAGAGTTCTAGTGCAAACTTAGTCTAACGTCAGCATTTAAACTATTTGCAAGTTTAGTATATTGACAGAACATTGTGGTATATTTGACAAAATGCTGTGGTATATTTGACAGAATGCTGTGGCATATTTGACAGAATGTTTTGGTATATTTGACAGAATGGTGTGGTATATTTGACCGAAAATTGTGGTATTATTTGACAGAACGTTGTGGTACATTTGACAGAATGTTGTGGCATATTGGACAGAACGTTGGGGTAAATTTGACAGAATGTTGTGGTCTATTTAACAGAACTTTGTGGTATATTTGACAGAATGTTGTGGTATATATGCGCCCTGACCGTTGCCCTGGTGCACGTGGGGGCAGACGTCGATGTCCCGATCTCCAGCCACTGGAATGGCGGCTTCCAAGGTGAAGTGTGCTTCACTATAGCGGAAGAAATGCATTCGTGGACTGTCATCCTGACGTCTGACCAACCCATCTCAAGTCTTGAAGTGAGTACATTTGAAAGATGACAACATACTTATCGTTACCTATGATAAATTTAGGGGGGGGGGTGGGGGGCGGTCTAAGTGCTCTTATGCATACAAATATTCTGAAGTAAATATATGTGGGTGTTCCATGTTGAAACCAATAGAATGCTCATTATTACACAACTCGTTACGTGCATTTTTTCACATAATGCCAAAAAAATCCATGAAAAATATTTTGAAACAATCTTGAACATCCTTTGATAATAATCTTGACCATCCTTTAATAACAATCTTGACCATCTTTTGATCATTTCAAATTAATAATTTTTAAATTTTAAAAAATTCAGTTAAATGTTGATGAAAATCCTCCAAGGATGTTTCCATATGACAGTGTGAGACACGATCTGAACTGGTGTGGACGGCACAATCATTACAGGGAGATAAACAGAGAACAACTCGTTACAGAAGCGAATAACGGGACCATAATATTGCCTTTCAATTTTATTTGAAGAGTTAATAGAAATAGGACGTATTCATGCTAAATTTATTCCCCCCCCCCACACACACACACCCCACACACACACACATACACACACACCCCACGCCCATCCCACACATACCCATACATACACCCACCCACGCACTCAAACACACACACACACATACACCCACACCATTTCACACACCAAACCAACACACATCCACACATACATCAACACATACATCCACACATACATCCACACATACATCCACACATACATCCACAGATACATCTACACATACACACACATACACACACATACACCCACAAATACATCCACACATACACCAACACATGCATCCAAACATACACACACATACACACACATACACCCACACATACACACACACATACACACACACATACACCCACACATACATCCACACATACGCACACATACATCCACACATAGACACACACACCCACACACATACACGCACATACATCCACACATACACACACACATACACACACATACATCCACACATAGACACACACCCACACATACACACGTACACCCACACATGATGAACTGGTTTGTACAAAAAAAATTTTTTTTTAAAACGTTACTACAATTTACCAAGACATCTCTCCCTACCTGAAAAGCCCACCTCTGAACCCCCTCACCTTTTCCCCACCTGACAAGTCCACCTCTGAAACCCCCCCCCCTCACCTTCTCCCCACCTGACAAGCCCACCTCTGAATCCCCCCCTCTTCACCCCTCTCCCCTGTCACTGGCTACTTGCTGTCAACTGACATAGACCCCCCTCACCTTCTCCCCACCTGACAAGCCCACCTCTGAATCCCCCCCTCTTCACCCCTCTCCCCTGTCACTGGCTACTTGCTGTCAACTGACATAGAGACCCTTGTGTTAAGTGTTGAGCTGTCTGCTAATCCTTCCAGGCCTACACAGCTGTGGTCGCAGAGACGTCAGATGGCGGGAAAGTGTTCGTCCTCCACAACAAGGACTGGAACAAGGACGAGCACGTCGGAGACAAACTTTGCATTGGCTTCCAGGGACATGGTGAGCACGCCAATCAATATTTGATCTCTATTACCATGGCATTGCGATCGTGATAAGGGATTAGTCCGAGATACCAATACAACTTGTACAGAGGCGTAGCCAGAGTGTTTGGCGCCCGGGGACGAGATTCATTTTAAAGCGCCTCCCTTTCTCTTTTCAACTCTCAAACCCATTATTTTCCCCAATAAAATAATATCAAATCACAGTTTGGCGCCCCATACTAGTCTGGCACCCAGGGAAATATGTTCCCCCTGCCCCCCCTTCGCTACGCCTCTGTACAGTAGTGTCACTACGGGAATACGGGCGGCACCAGGTGAAAAACTCCCAGGGGCCTGGGGGCGCTTAATGGAAAAATGACAGCGTTGACAGGGTAACTAATTGGAATCGCTTTCGTAACTCAATGAAAGAACAGGTTGTCACCAGAGTAGGTTGTCACCAGAGTAGGTTGTCACCAGAGCAGGTTGTCACCAGAGCAGTTTGTCCCCAGAGCAGAATTTCACCAGAGCATGTTGTCACCTTACCCGGGTTTACCAGAGCAAGTTGCCACCACAATAGTTTGCATCCAAAATAGGTTGTCACCAAAAAAATTTGCCACAGACCATGTTGCCACGGACCAGGTTGCAAGAGACTATGTTGCCACAGACCAGGTTGCAAGAGACCATGTTGCCACAGACCAGGTTGCAAGAGACTATGTTGCCACAGACCAGGTTGCGAGAGACCATGTTGTCACAGACCATGTTGCCACAGACCAGGTTGCCACAGACCAGGCTGTCACCATAACAGGTCGTCAACAAGAGCATAATCATAAGAGGTCTATGTGGACGGCTGGGGTGGAGACACCATTAGTCTACCACCCTTGGGGGTCATGAACCCTAGTGACGCCACTGCATCCGGTGACGTCATTTTATATTTTGTTTTAAACTATATGATTCGTCTGAAACCAGCTATTCTCAAATTGTGATAAGCACACCTCTGGTGTACAGTTTATTGTGGCAGGTGACACACACGCGTGTAACAAATAACGACCAGACATATCCAGTCCAGATTGAAAGAAATGTATCCACTTGGTGGTTATGAATTTTTAACAGTTTATTTAAATGGTGACACTTTCCGAAAATTTGAGAACCTCCTCTTACATTAGGCCATCAGTATGGACAAATAAACAGATACAGCTCTTTGATGGGAAATTGTTACGATGTAATGCTATCTGTTTGAGAACACCCAGGAAACTTTTAGTTTCAACTTTATGAGAGTTAATGGTCAAACATGGATTGGAATTTGTCATTGACGTGATAAGTAGCTTATTATCACGCGATAATTTATCCTCTTGTAATCTGTCTTCAGGTAATGGCGACATTAATCCTAAAATAACAGCTGCGATTCACGCTGGTGACGTCACAAGTCCACCAATTACCGGTAGGTAATCTCTGCATATACTATAGTGGTGCTATCAGACAGTGGGGGGGGGGTGTGCAACAGGTGGCACCGCTTGAAATGTTTGCACCTGTCTAGTGTTTTACTATCAATAACGATCGATGCATGTTTGTAATATTTAATTATTTGCTTCTTTTACATTTATCAGACCTATCAAAATCCCTTATATAATTTGCACTTAAACAACGTCCATTGAAATGCACGGCGATCGTTGAAATAACGTTTTCTTCTTGTCCCTGCTGCCACCCAGCCATGGGGATGCAGTTAACACACTGATCGGGGTGTGTACAACAACATCAACAAACTTGTAAACTTTGACCTTTTACGAAAAGGGCCTTAAAGATATACGAAATGTGAACATTCTATCTTTGTTGACTGTGTGGTCTTATAATCTGTTGTTTGATCTCTTCCCAGCCGGCCCGGGTCAAACACTTCCGCCAACGACGACACCAAGGCCAAGTACGTATCAAGTGAATCTTTCTTACGGTCAAGTCTTGTGGGTTTAAGATCAATGTTTAATATGAGAGACACTCGTCTGCCTCGTTTACAACTAAATGCGGGTTCTTCTAAAAAGTTGGGTTTTACAGACAAGTAAGAGACAGCCCACCCCAGCCCCGGCACTCCCACATCCCCAAAGTCTGAAGCTTATTGCCCCAGAAAGGTCAAGGTTAATCTCTTCTGTGGGCCGGGCCGATGCAGAAAACAATTATGAGAACATATTTTAGCAAGAGGTACCCCCCCCCCCTCAATGCCTGGGGGCAGTCTGTCCATATGTCAGCCTACTGGCTGAGGTGGAACAGGTCCCTGGTCTTCTCCTAGGAAGCCTGCATGGGTTCGTACCCGCATAAACTGTGCTTGCCACAAGGATAATGTGCTGAAATAAACTAGGTAACATTTTTGGGTAGTAGGGCTAGAGCACAGAATGGCCGATGCCGCTCAAGTAGATAATAATGGTGTTATTGGTGACCAAGAAGCACTCCCCCCCCCCCAAACCGGTGAGGGCGGTTACCCTAGTCAGTCGTTTCATTTTAGCATTTAGTCTTAAGGGACCCAGGTCCGAATAGCGGCAATTCGGTCCCGGGTCCCTTTAGACTAAACGCCATTCGGATGTCATTTGTGGTAGTTTATTTTAGTTAAATTGAAGAAGTAAGTTTACAAACATATAGTCCATTCAATTATCTTTCATTTGATACCAAATTTTGTCTTACAAACCCAACAATAATATTTTAAAAAATTTTTTTAATAAACCCAACCTCTCACTCTTAAATCCCGGGTTCGAATAGCCGCAAACATATTAAATCTGGCAGCGATCTCTGGTGCAGTGGGGCACTTGCCCACCGGAAGACGATGAGTTTTGTAGTTTTTCTTGCTAGGGGCCTTGAATTGCGCCCCTTTGCTGTCGGGTGTGAAGGGTGGAGTCAGCAGTGTCAAGGTCATTGTTGGTCTTCGTCTGTTGAACCCTTGGGGGGGGGGGGGGTGGGGGGGGAGACGCACTTCCTCATGGTCATATGAGTGGCATTAGAGGGACACTCTCAAAGTGTGATCTGGGGTGAGGTAATTATTCATCTTTCGTGGGGGAGAGCGAGGCTGACTAACACGTGACGAACCAAACTGTCTCTTGAGGTAATGTGCGCATGACGTCAGACACTGGTAACCATGATCTTAGTTAAATTTCACGTCAACACCTGATTCTATTACCTGCTACTATAACCCGATACTATTACCTGATACCATTACCTGATACTATTACCTGATACTATTACCTGATACTATTATACCTGATACTATTACCTGATACTATTACCTGATACTATTACCTGATACTATTACCTGATACTATTACCTGATAGTATTACTTTATAATAAAGAAGGTGTTCCGAAGCAGTCATTTCGTCCCCTGCCCCTGTTTCAATAAGTTTAATTATGGGGGGGGGGGGAAGGGGGGGAGTCGTCAAGAAATCTCTCTTAAGGAAGTTCGTTTATCATCTGTGGTAAAATAGTTTCAGAGTTAAGGTAACTAATTATTATGCCACAGCGGAATTACACGTTCAGATATATATGGTCAAGAAATTGCCCTACAGAAACATTCCACGTCTTCTTGCCAGAAACACTTATGAGAATCATCCCCCAATGATTGCCAACGTGTCCTCTAATCATCCTCCAATGATTGCCAACGTGTCCTCTAATCATCCTCCAATGATTGCCAACGTGTCCTCTAATCATCCTCCAATGATTGACAACGTGTCCTCTAATCATCCTCCAATGATTGACAACGTGTCCTCTAATCATCCTCCAATGATTGCCAGCGTGTCCTCTAATCATCCTCCAATGATTGACAACGTGTCCACTATTTTGTTTGACTTTATGTATTATAGTGCGTTCCAAAAAAAAAAAAAAAAAAAAAAAAAAAAAAAAAAAAAAAAAAAATTGAAAAAATATGATCGTGTGCACTAAAAATAAAATTCTATCAAATCTCCGTTCGCCCAAACTTCCGTCGATCAATTTTTCGTCGACAAAATTTCTTTCAACCACATTTCCGGTCACCCTATTTCAGCGCTCCCCTACACGGGAGAAGGATTCCCCTCAACCCTCAAGATCAACGCGGACTGGGGGAACAGGTTTGACGGCGAGTTTGACTTTACACCCACTGAGAACGTCATGGGCTGGGTGGCCAACATCACCTTTACTAAACCTGTCACTAAGATGGAGGTAAGCACTGGTCACTCTAAATATTAGACGTAAGTATTGGTCATTCAAAACATTTCAATATATTGGACGTATGTACTGGTCACTCTAAACATTTCGCTGTAATAGACGTAAGCACTGGTCACTCTACACATTTCGCTATAATAGACGTAAGCACTGGTCACTCTAAACATTTTGCTGTAATAGACGTAAGTACTGGACACTCTAAACATTTCGCTGTAGTAGACGTAAGTACTGGACACTCTAAACATTTCACTAAGATGGATATAAGTACTTGTCATTCTAAACATTTCCCTATGATTGGACCCAAGTACGCTATTATTCAATAACATGGGTCTCATCATCACAGCTGACATTCAATAGCATGGGTCTCATCATCACAGCTGTCATTCAATAACTTGGGTCTTATCATCATACATGTCATTCAGTAACATGGGTCTCATCATCACAGCTGTCATTCAGTAACATGGGTCTCATCATCACAGCTGTCATTCAGTAACATAGGTCTCATCATCACAGCTGTCATTCAGTAACATGGGTCTCATCATCACAGCTGTCATTCAATAGCATGGGTCTCATCATCACAGCTGTCATTCAATAACTTGGGTCTCATTCACTGCTGTCATTCAATAACATGGTTTTCATCATCACAGCTGTCATTCAAACACATGGGTCTCATCATCACTGCTGTCATTCAATAACTTAAGTCTCATCACTGCTGTCATTCAATACCTTGGGTCTCATTACTGCTGTCATTCAATAACTTAGGTCTCATCATCACCGCTGTCATTCAATAACTTGGGTCTCATCATCACAGTTTTCCTTCAATATCTTGGGTCTCATCATCACAGCTGTCATTCAATAACGTGGGTCTCATCATCACTGTAATTCAATAACTTGGGTCTCATCATGACAGCTGTCATTCAATAATTTGGTCTCATCGTTGCTGTCAATCAATAACTTGGGTCTCATCATCAACGCTGTCATTCAATAACTTGGGTCTCATCATCCTTGCTGTCTTTCATTAACTTGGGTCTCATCATCACTGATGTCATTCAATAATTTGGTCTAATCACTGCTGTGATTCAAGAATTTGGGTCTGATCATCCCTGCTGTCATTCAATAACATGGGTCTCACAACCATAGCAGTCATTCAATAACATGGGTCTCATCATCACAGCTGTCATTCAATAATTTGGTCTCATCACTGCTGTCATTCAATAACTTAGGTCTCATCATCACCACTGTTATTCAATAACTTGGGCCTCATCATCACAGCTGTCATTCAATAACATGGTTCTCATCATCACTTCTGTCATTCAGTAACTTGGGTCTCATCATCACCGCTGCCATTCAATAACTTTGGTCTCATCATCACCGCTGTCATTCAATAACTTGGGTCTCATCATCACTGCTATCATTCAATGACTTGAGTCGCATCATGATAGATGTCATTCAATAATTTGGTCTCATCATTGCTGTCATTCAATAACGTGGGTCACATCATCACTGCTGTCATTCAAAAACTTAGGTCTCATCATCCTCACTGTCATTCAATAATTTGGCCTCATCGTTGCTGTCATTCAATAACTTGGGTCTCATCTTCCTCGCTGTTTTTCATTAACTTGGGTATCATCATCACTGATGTCATTCAATAGTTTGGTCTCATCATTGCTGTGATTCAAGAATTTGGGTCTGATCATCACCGCTGTCATTCAATAACATGGGTCACATCATCACAGCTGTCATTCAAAACATGGGTCTCATCATTACCGCTGTCATTCAATAACTTAGGTCTCATCATCACAGCTGTCAATTAAAAACATGGGTCTCATCACCACTGCTGTTATTCAATAACTTGTGTCTCATCATCACCGACGTCATTCAATAGCTTGGGTCTCATCATCACTGCTGTCTTTCAATAACTTGGGTCTCATCATCACTGCTGTCATCCAATAACTTGGGTCCCATCATCACTGCTATCAATCAAAAACATGGGTTTCATCATCACAGCTGTCATTTAATAACATGGGTCTCATAATCACTGCTGTCATTCAATAACTTGGGTCTTATCATCACAGCTGTCATTCAATAACATGGGTCGCATCATGACAGCTTCCATTCAATAATTTGGTCTCATCATTGCTGTCATTCAATAACGTGGGTCTAATCATCACTGCTGTCATTCAATAACTTAGGTCTCATCACTGCTGTCATTCAATAACTTAGGTCTCATCATCACTGCTGTCATTCAATAACTTAGGTCTCATCACTGCTGTCATTCAATAACTTGGGTCTCATCATCACTGCTGTCATTCAATAAAGTGGGTCTCATCACTCCTGACATTCAATAACATGGGTATCATCATCCTCGCTGTCATCCAATAACTTAGGTCTCATCACTGCTGTCATTCAATAACTTGGGTCTCATCATCACTGCTGTCATTCAATAACTTGGGTCTCATCATCACTACTGTCATTCAATAACGTGGGTCTCATCATCCTCGCTGTCATCCAATAACTCAGGTCTCATCACTGCTGTCATTCAATAATTTGGGTCTGATCATCACTGCTGTATTTCAATAACGTGGGTCTCATCATCCTCGCTGTCATCCCATAACTTAGGTCTCATCTCTGCTGTCATTCAATAACTTGGGTCTCATCATCACTGCTGTCATTCTATAATTTGCGTCTCATCATCACTGCTGTCATTCAACAACGTGGATCTCATCACTACTGTCATTCAATAACGTGGGTCTCATCATCATTGATGTCATTCTTTAACTTGGGTCTCATCATCACAGCTGTCATTCAATAACTTGGGTCCCATCATCACTGCTGTCAATTAAAAACATGAATCTCATCACCACTGCTGTTATTCAATAACTTGTGTCTCATAATCACCGCTGTCATTCAATAGCTTGGGTCTCATCACCACTGCTGTAATTCAATAACTTGGGTCTCAGCATCACTGCTGTCATTCAATAACTTGGGTCCCATCATCACTGCTATCAATCAAAAACATGGGTCTCATCATCACCGCTGACATTCAATAACTTGGGTTTCATCACTGCTATCATTCAATAACTTAGGTCTCATCACTGCTGTCATTCAATAACGTGGGTCTCATCATTTCTGTCATTCAATTACTTGGGTCTCATCATCACTGTTGTCATTCTATAACTTGGGTCTCATCATCACTGCTGTCATTCAATAACTTAAGCCTCATCATCACCGCTGACATTCAATAACTTGGGTCTCATCACTGCTATCATTCTATAACTTAGGTCTCATCACTGCTGTCATTCAATAAGTGGGTCTCATCACTTCTGTCATTCAATTACTTGGGTCTCATCATCACTGTTGTCATTCTATAAGTTGGGTCTCATCATCACTGCTGTCATTCTATAACTTGGGTCTCATCATCACTGCTGTCATTCTATAACTTGGGTCTTATCATCACTGCTATCATTCTATAACTTGGGTCTCATCATCACTGCTGTCATTCTATAACTTAGGTCTCATCATCACTGCTGTCATTCTATAACTTAGGTCTCATCATCACTGCTGTCATTCAATAACTTGGGTCTCATCATCACAGTAGTCATTCATTAGCGTGGGTCTCATCACAGCTGCCATTCAATAACTTGGGTCTAATCATCACAGCTGCCATTCAATAACTTGGGTCTCATCATCACAGCTGTCATTCAATAACTTTTGTCTCATCATCACAGTTGTCATTCAATAACATGGTTCTCATCATCACAGCTGTCATTCAATAACATGGATCTCATCATCATTTCTGTCATTCAATAACATGGTTCTCATCATCACCGCTGTCATTCAATAACTTGGGTCTCATCATCACAGCTGTCATTCAATAACATGGGTCTCATCATCACAGCTGTCATTCAATAACTTGGGTCTGATCATCACTGCTGTCATTCAATAACGTGGGTCTCATCATCAATGCTGTCATTCAATAACTTGGGTCTCATCATCACTGCTGTCATTCAATAATTTGGTCTCAGCACTGCGGTCATTCAATAACATGGGTCTCATCATCACTGCTGTCATTCAAAAACATGGGTCTCATGACAGTTGTCATTCAATGACTTGGGTCTTATCATCACTGATGTCATTCAATAACAAGTGTAAACTAGAGAAGGATCAAAAATTTCTCAAAGTATTTTAGTTTATTCACTAGAATTTCATTTGTTAAAATATTTAGACTCAAATAGATTGGCATCACAAACAAATTATATTATGATTGTTAACAGGTCATGGCTGGGGATGCCATATCTCATTCAGCTGACGGCCTAAACTGGGTTGTTGTCAACAAACCTGACCATCCCTCGGCCCATGCTGGAACTCCTCTGGCTCTCAAGTAAGTTCAAGCGTGTTACTTCACCTCAAGTAAGTTCAAGGGTATTACTTCACCTCAAGTAAGTTCAAGGGTATTACTTCACCTCAAGTAAGTTCAAGGGTATTACTTCACCTCAAGTAAGTTGAAGCGTGTTACTTCACCTCAAATAAGTTCAAGGTTATTACTTCATCTCACATAGGGGCAACCATTGTGTGATAATAACCAAGTCACTAGAGGTTTGTGTGTTAAATAAATTAAATAAATCATGTTTGATCGTGATACATTATTTGATTCAATTCAATAGCTTAAGTATTATTTCAAATATCTAGTTGTTAGGTATTGCTCAAGTGACCGAAATGATTCTCCTAGCATTACCGATCCAATTATTATCGTATCCGGAAATTTTTTTGTGAGAAATTTCGTCGACAGATCAAATTTTGAGTCAAATTTCTCATTTAACCCATTATTATTTTCCTTATTATATTGCATAGTGCGTTCAAAAAGAAATTTGACAAAAATTTGATTGTGTGAACTGGAAAAAAATTCGACCAAACATCCGTTCGATCAATTTTACGTCGACGAAATTTATTTCAAACCCAATTCTGGTAACCTATTAATATAATTCTATATATTCTAAAAAAAGTGAAAAATTTCTCTGTAATCTTCAAGCCTCCTGGAGTTATCATTGAAAACAAATGTGGGTCAAATAGAAAATAGACACATGTCCATTGAAGTATATGCTTGGATAACTACTTGGATGTCAAAAACAATCTGAATGTAATGTAGGCCAAACTTGACAAATGGAATATTTGATTTTGAAACTGAGCCGGATTACTTTCCATTTAAGCCAGATTACATCCCATTTAAGCCAGATTACATCCCATTTAAGCCAGATTACATCCTATTCTATGGTCAGTGAGATTAAGACCTAGATAGTGGATAGTTCATTAACATTTCCTTGTCAGGTTCTTTGGCAACTTTGATGGTGGATCTCCAGCACCTGGGGGGACAGCCATCTTAACAAATTTGGGAAGAGACAAGTGGACAGTGACCCCAGCAGCAGATAGTAAGTGGCCTGTAATTGATTCGTTGGACTAGAATCTACTGCACCCTTGCATACTTACATTTCTTCTTTAACATCGACTGTTCTTCACAGCTATCAAACAGTATAACCCTTTAAAAGCATGTACTGTAGACTTTTATTATTATGTTTTTTTTTGAATACATTTCTTTAGGCCTAAATCTATCCAATGGCAGTACAAAGTGCCAACAATTTTTTTAATGAAACATGCAGCGGCGTAGCTAGAAAAAGTGTCGCCAGGGGTGGACCAAGTCTTTTTCCGGCCCCTTCAAAGAAAAAATCTGCAGTTGGCCCAAAATTCCGCCTCTCCTTATAAAGAAATAAGTGCCGCTCGAGGCGGACCCCTATCCCCTTCCTACGCCCCTGGAAACATGTTCTCTCCTCTCAGCGGGGGGTCCCTGTGCTGACTGTGTTGTAAGGAGAAATTGGACCCCGGTCAAATCCTTAAGGAGCAGGGCCATGTGAAGATTGGCGGGGGCGAGTGGTTTGCCTCAATTTTTAGTTGTATGCCTCGTTAGACAGGCAGCTCAGAACACTGCGCCTAATTCTTAAACATTTCACTCACATTTATTGTTATTATTTTTATTCATTATCAGCACAAGATATTTATGGCGTAGGACAAATCTCCTAGAATAACAAAAATTGTGTTACACTTTGAAACGTGTATTCCAGCGGACAAATCCAAGTACAACTACAATGACGTCCTCTACAAGTCCATCTTATTTTATGAAGCCCAGCGGTCAGGAAAACTTCCGTCAACAAACCGTATTCCTTACAGGGGCGACTCTGCTCTGGGGGACAAGGGAGTGGGGGGCGAAGACCTGACTGGAGGGTGGTATGATGGTAAGTTGTTAAACAGAGATGGTATGTTATATAATTTGTTTCTAGATGTTGCATAGATTTATAACTTACAAAAATTAAAATTAATAGACAAAATCAAAGCAAAAATTAATAGGCCTACTTAAAAAAAATAATTAATATATTTTTGTAATGTCACAAGAAGCAATCAGAGCCCAATGGCGCTATCAGGTAGCCTTTCGTAGGCTCTACTAATCTGCCTTTAAATCAACAGGCAAACTATTTTTCTAAATGTTTATGAAATAAATTTCAATAATTTGTTAGAGTTGAGCAACAATAGTGACACAAGACCGTTACAAGACTTAAAGTTCTTTATTTAAACAGCTAATACTGTATTTATTACCTTAAGCTTGTCTTAAGATTTTTTTAGAGATTAAAAAACCATTGCCTAATTGGCTTTAGAGCACAATGACTATTGCAACAAAGCACTGAATTTCACAGTGGCTTCTTGTATCCACCTCCTCAAACAGCTGGTGACCACGTCAAGTTCAACTTCCCCATGGCGTACAGTGCTGCAATCCTAGGATGGGGCTATCTCATGTATTCAGATGCTTACAAAGCTGCCGGGCAAGAAGATTATTTGCTGGACTCTATTAAATGGCCACTGGACTACCTGCTTAAGTGTCATACTAAACCTGATGAGCTGTATGTCCAGGTATGTTAGGTGTTCAACAAATCTTTTTATAAGAAAACAATTTTGTAGATGTATTATATAAATGGCATACCTCCCGAGACGATGGAGTAGTTGTTGACACTTCATCAAATGGCTTACGAATGGCAGTCTCGGCTGCACTTCTCGCAGGAGAACCTTGACTCATGGCCTTCTATAATGCTATTTTTGTTGCAAGGTCTTTCTTTTGCGCAACTTCAGTCACTGCTGTTCGCTAGCTGGGGGGTAGCTCAGCGATGATCTCCAATTCTTTTATTTCTATTTTGGTTTCCCTCATGTACCATTTTCAAACGTCCTTAAATCGTGGCCATCCCATAAGTTTCGCCCTTTCTGCCAACTCTCCATGCAGCTGATCCTTTGGAATACGGCCTTCCTGCATTCTACTTACATGGCCTAACCAGCGAAGGCGCCTCATGCTAAGAGCGGAAAACAAGCTACACATTTTGGCACATTCCAAAACATATGTGTTAGGCAATATATCCTGCCATCAAATTAGCAAAATGCAACGCATACATCTTTGGTGGAAGCTTTCGAGTTTCCGCTCATGATTGTAAGGTGTGGGCCACACTTCACTGCCATATAGGAGCAAACTAAGCACACATGCCTCATAGACGCTTAGTTGTGTAGTTTCGGTTAGTTAAAGAGTATTCCACACCCACCTATTCAATTTACAGCCATAGGTGCTGCTGCTTTTGCGATCCTGATGTTCACATAATCGTCATCGGAGAGAGAACTAGAGATATCGGCACGGTATTTGAAATGCTCAACTACCAACAGATTATGGATTAACTAACAACTTGCAGGCCTTCTACTGTGTGCAAGGTTAAGGCGGCAATGTCAGCTAACAGCAGTCAACGAATTAGCATTTTGTTTAAACTTTGCACTAATGCGGGCGATATTGAACAGCCTACCAACAGATCTGGTATGGATGTACACTCCTTCTTCACAGTCCTTGGAGGAAAAATGAAGAAATAATATTGAGAAGAAAATGGAGAAGGGCGTTGGTGCAAGTGCGCAGCCTTGTTTCACTCCACTGTTTACTAAGATGCCTCAGAGATATCGCCATTGAAGGTTAATGTTCTGTGCATGTTTTCGTGAAATGAATGTATGATGGATACGACCAATTACTGGGACTAAAAATGTCCATGCAGACTGTCAGCCACTTTGCCAACACTTGCTGGTTGGTCCTTTGCCACTGAATACAATTGGCTCTCAGACAATTGGGATGCAAATGGCATTTACGTGGGCATCAAAATAGGCATTAGGTCCACACACTTCAAAATAGCATCCCTCAAGGCAAAGACAGTTATTAAGAACCCAAACGATGAACTTCAGGGTTAGGTTGAGCATTATTCTGAAGAAAACGCAAAAAAAGAATGTGGTCTCTGAGACAGCATTGAATAACCCATTTTGTTAAAAATGATTATATGAAAACTGTGGTGAATTTGTTTATCTAAAAAAATTGAACTGCCCATCTTGCATATTTCATCACCAGGTTGGAGATGGTGGGGCTGACCACAGTTACTGGGGTCCTCCGGAGCAAATGACCATGGCCAGGCCCTCCTACAAGATTTCAGCATCTAAACCTGGCACTGATGTTGCTATGGAGACAGCTGCAGCGTTTGCCATTGGCTCACTTGCTTTTAAAGACAAAAGTAAGAATTTCTCCACTGTTAAGAAATTTTAATTTTTACAGAACAGAAACATCTCACACAAAATTTTTACCTAATACAAAATCCTGTTAATATTTACATAGAAATAAATATATGTTTTTTTATTTGAACTAATTTTGTTAAATATATATATATTGTAAAGTGTATTGTATTTTTCTTCGATACCAGATCCAACTTATTCAGCCACATTACTGCAACACGCTAAACAACTTTGGGAACTAGGAAACAATCACAGAGGAATTTACAGTGACTCTGTACAGGCGGCAGCCGCGTATTACAGGTAAATCACTTCAGCCATCAATCGAGTCTGTACCACCCAGTGTTTTGATTAGTTGTTTAAGAATTTTAATCACAATTTAATGGAACAGCTCGAGACCAAATGATGGCAACGGTAAATGTATATCGAGGTCCTAATTGGCAATCACTTAATCGTACTGAAATTTTTAATCTATTTTTAGATCCTACAACATAACCGATGAACTGAGCTGGGGTTCTATCTGGCTGTACCAAGTAACAAATGACCCTAAATATCTGGAGGTAGCAGAGAAATACTTTGATCCGGAGCCAGCATGGGGAATGTCATGGGATGACAAGACCATTGTTAATCAGGTACTTATTTTAAATTTATTTCTCTTGAATGTTATCCATTGGCCAGTTCGGCTTGCGGTATCGGCCTAAATGGAACCAACTAAGCAGCAGTAACTGTACTTTTTATATACTCTCTAAGACTCTAAGAAATAAAAATTATTTTTAGTTAATTTTAACGAAATTTGAAAAAACAATTTAGTAGCCTATGTCAAAATTACTAACTGCTGTCCATCAAGTTTTCTAAATAATGTATTCATAGTTAGTTTTTTAATTTTGAAAATTATATCTTGTTCCCAGGTGATGCTGTACAAGTTAACAAAGAAAGAAATTTACAAAACTGCAGTGGAAGGTTCTTACAAGTTCTGGTTCCCCGGTGGTTCCATTCCCTACACACCTAAAGGCTTGGCTTACAGGCTTCAATGGGGATCACTAAGATATTCATGTACGTACCTTGCCAGGTTTTTAAACACTTTCAACACAAACCAGAATTGCAGGAAATAAATATCAATCAATGATTTTATCAAATGTTATAAAATTAAAATGGTTTATGATTGAAAAAAAAAATCAGCCCTCTTGATTTAATAATATTTAAGCACAGCATTGTGAGACAGATATAACTGTCTTACACATCTGTCAAGTCCCTTGATTATACTTCTACTTGTTCTTAATAAACAGACCAACCATAAAGCTTAACCTGACTGCAACTGTGTATTAGTATTATGCTTTAAATAGATCAATAAATTCAGCATTAGAAACAGCAGTTTTAGCATTCATCATTGAATCAATTTATTTGTTTGTAGTTTTGAAAACATTCCACACTTGGTTGTATGAAATAACTTTATTAACCAGGAAAAAGATAATCAAATTTTCATCTTGTCATTTGCAGCCAACATGGCGATGGCAGCACTAGTAGCAGCAGACGCTGGTATCAACCCAACAGAGTACAGACGTTGGGCCATGTGTCAGATCCACTACGCCCTTGGTGACACTGGATTTAGTTACCTCATCGGATTCGGAAACAAATATCCACACAGTCCACATCACAGATCCAGGTAAGTTTCTATTCTTCAAAGCAGTAATCAGAACGATTCATTAGTTTGACATGTCATTAATCAGAACGATTCATTAGTTTGACATGTCATTAATCAGAAAGATTAATTAGTTTGACATGTCATCAATCAGAAAGATTCATTCGTTGACATTTCATTAATCAGAAAGATTCATTAGTTTGACATGTCAATCAGAAAGATTTATTGATTCGAGGATGGTCACATAACAAATTGAAGGCATTCATGATTTCCAATTATTGATCACTTATTTTCTTGCACAGCTCCTGCCCGAACCTCCCCGCCCCATGTGGCCCTTTCATAATGTCCAGCAAAGAGCCCAATGTCCACACACTTTACGGTGCCCTGGTAGGTGGACCCGGTCAGAGCGATGACTACACAGATGACAGGTCAAACTACGTCAACAATGAGGTGGCTTGTGACTACAATGCTGGCTTCCAGACGGCTGTGGCTGGTATGTACTACGACAACAACCTACTGGTCAACCACCTATACATCTACCACAATCTAAACTCTTATAAACATTGTCCAAATATATTTAATATTTATACCAAATATATTTAATATTTATAATATATTCTAACTTTCAAATAACACAATTTTGAATCCATTTAAATTGATTTTAATAATGATTACCTCTTTTCAAGAACCGTATTAACTCAACTATAAGTCAAGGGCAGTGTTTTGACCAACAATTATGAAATATGCTATGACTGGTGGATAAGTCGAGTGTAAAACTTGGGGCTTTGAAATTCGGTGAATTCTATAATTTTGTCAGATATTACGTAGCAGCATTGCTGTACAGTACACTTAACTAAAGCTGATGTATCATTTGACTCAGATGTATCACATCTTCTTCTTCTTCTATATCTTAAGGGCCCACGATCAATTTATTGATCATTTTGGCTCCTATACATGTAGATGGGATTTGCAATGTTTCTGTTACTGGTGTTGATGAGGAAATACATTAGTATACTAAACTATAGCCCCTGTGTATCACATCAGATGCTTGTATCTAAATTCATTAAGTTAACACTCTGCAGACTACATAATAACGACATGTCTGAAAAGGCTACCAGAAAGTAAACTGGCGCTAGCAGTATCTCAACATTGCCCCGCGATTCACTTACAAAATGCTATCGAAACTAGCACTGTCCTGTTGATAAGTTAACTTTGTTTTAAAATGAAGTTTGCGACTAAATTATCTGGACTTGTACATAAGTATCTATGGTAAATCAAATGGTTCTTAGTTATGGTTCTTAGTTCTATCTTACTAGCCATAGATATCAAAATATATATACACATAAACGAAAGCTGATGTTTTAAAAGACGTTTTTCAATGTTATCTTCAGCTCTGAAATCTCTGTGGTTGAGGACAGAACATCCCCAACAAAAAGGAGATGACAAATGTCCATTCACCAGTGGTTCTGGCGGCGCTGGAGGTGTTGTTGGGAGACGGTGATTGGCCCACGTATCGTAAACGGTCAAACAAGTCATTCTGTTCACGGTCTTCCAATAAATTTGTTTGAATTCACCTATGCCTTTCTTATGACGAATTCTGATTTGCCACGTAAAGTTCAAACAAAATGTTACTAACAATATTTGTGACAGCTTACAGAGGAACATTAGCTGAGATAAAAGCATGTCAACAAGTTTTTTATTTTTAAAAATGTAAATGCTACTGGTACTATGACAGTGGGCATACAAATAATTGGTCAACCTCAATTTTTTCTTGAGTACATTGTAATAATCACACATACAACCACTCATAATCATATCACTGTGTTATAATCATGGGAAATGAAGACTCTCTATTTACAAAGATGTGATATCAATGAACCATTTCATGACATTGTATGAGCATTTTCTCACCAATGAAATCAACTTATACAAAATGTTGGGTAGACTTTGACTGATAGTTACTAGCAATGATTATTTAACTGGGTTTTCACTTTTATTTCAGGTGTCCTCAGAAAGTTATTGAATTTATTCAAATTTTTTAATGTAAGAATTTACATGAAAGGGTCCCTCACAAAAAAAAAATGTTTAAAATTTAATTGTACAAATGGGACCTCTGGACTGGTAATAGTAACTGTATTGATAACGTCATCTACAGTGCAAAAGTTGACACCTAAAAATTCATTGAAAAAAGCAATGACCTCAACACACCCCCCAGCCCTACCCCCGTGTTCCCCCCCAGGACGGATGTAAGTAGTACAAAATGGTATCAAGTGATAACTTCACTTACTGATAAAAAAACACTTGACACTAAAAGAAAATAAGGGAGGATTAAGATTAACATAATGTAAACAAAATGGTGGGAGTGAAACAAAATGTAATAAGATGTAACAAGAAATCACATCTTATATGTTGATACTGGCCCCTTCTCTTTCCCACTGGAATGTTTGTACATCATCAGTAACTAACACAATGAAATTAAGTCAAATCATAAATAACTGTTTCATCAAGGTTTACTTATAACACTAAGAGCCATACATGGAGCAAAAAAAACTATTTAAAATAGTATAACCTTTTCTTGACACAATAACTTTGCTTGCTTTGAGTCCTGCCCTAAAAGTTATCACTGCCCACACTTGATGGAAATTATAGGTTGAATAATAATAACTCTCTTAACAATTAGGATGTTATGTAAATCACAAATCAGATCTCATGTCCAGAACATTTCTTTTAATCTACAACATATATCAAAGACACTGTAAGCATGTTCACCATTGTCTTGTGACAGGTAAGGGTTGATTGTAGGTCTCAGGTCATGGTGGTGGTGGTGTTGTGGTCCTCTAGTAAGTGCCAAAACATAGTGACCTATCCTTGGTCTCAGGTCATGGAGGTGGTGTTGTGGTCCTCTGGCAAGTGCCAAAACATAGTGACCTATCCTTGGTCTCAGGTCATGGTGGGGATGTTGAGGTCCTCTAGCAAGAGCCAAAAGAGATGTGACCTATCGTTGGTCTCAGGTCATGGTGGGGATGTTGAGGTCCTCTAGCAAGAGCCAAAAAAGATGTGACCTATCGTTGATCTCAGGTCATGGTGGTGATGTGGTCCTCTAGCAAGTGCCAAAAGAGATGTGACCTATTGTTGGTCTCAGGTCATGGTGGTGATGTGGTCCTCTAGCAAGTGCCAAAAGAGATGTGACCTATTGTTGGTCTCAGGTCATGGTGGTGTTGTGGTCCTCTAACAAGTGCCAAAAGAGATGTGACCTATTGTTGGTCTCAGGTCATGGTGGTGATGTTGTGGTCCTCTAACAAGTGCCAAAAGAGATGTGACCTATCGTTGGTCTCAGGTCATGGTGGTGATGTTGTGGTCCTCTAACAAGTGCCAAAAGAGATGTGACCTATTGTTGGTCTCAGGTCATGGTGGTGATGTTGTGGTCCTCTAACAAGTGCCAAAAGAGATGTGACCTATTGTTGGTCTCAGGTCGTGGTGGGGATGTTGAGGTCCTCTTAGCAAGTGCCAAAAGAGATGTGACCTATTGTTGGTCTCAGGTCATGGTGGTGATGTTGTGGTCCTCTAACAAGTGCCAAAAGAGATGTGACCTATTGTTGGTCTCAGGTCATGGTGGTGATGTTGTGGTCCTCTAACAAGTGCCAAAAGAGATGTGACCTATTGTTGGTCTCAGGTCGTGGTGGGGATGTTGAGGTCCTCTTAGCAAGTGCCAAAAGAGATGTGACCTATTGTTGGTCTCAGGTCATGGTGGTGATGTTGTGGTCCTCTAACAAGTGCCAAAAGAGATGTGACCTATTGTTGGTCTCAGGTCATGGTGGTGATGTTGTGGTCCTCTAACAAGTGCCAAAAGAGATGTGACCTATTGTTGGTCTCAGGTCATGGTGGTGATGTGGTCCTCTAACAAGTGCCAAAAGAGATGTGACCTATTGTTGGTCTCAGGTCATGGTGGTGATGTTGTGGTCCTCTAACAAGTGCCAAAAGAGATGTGACCTATTGTTGGTCTCAGGTCATGGTGGTGATGTGGTCCTCTAACAAGTGCCAAAAGAGATGTGACCTATCGTTGGTCTCAGGTCATGGTGGTGATGTTGTGGTCCTCTAGCAAGTGCCAAAAGAGATGTGACCTATTGCCAAACTTGAGCTTGCAGCCTTTCTGTAAATAGATAAGCATTAAATAAATGTTCAGACCAGGGTTGTGTTAAAAATGGCTGACAAATCTTGGAAGCAGGAACTACTGTTATAATATTAACTTGTTCACATTATGCTACTCAAGGTCTTATCTTAAGTTTAATTTATAAACTAATTTTACTCATGTAAAATACAATTGATTGATTTATCAGTGCTCCTATTTATTAACTGCATTGTGTCATCAATCTCATTATGTTTACTAATAAATTAGAGTGTGCCTATATCTACTTTGGCACAATTGCCCAAGTCAATCACATAAACACAACTCACATGGCATCTGTGTTTGGCCTTCACATCCAGTTCCACACAATCAACAGCTCCAGTAATGTTGCCTGTGATTAACTGGTTATAAATAACAATAACAAGATATTTCATTGGGAGTGATTGACAGAATGTACACATTTTTGTTAATTTAAATTTTTGTAAGATTTATTATTGTTTTTAAAGAAATTAAAATAAATGATTATAAACATTATTAAAAGCAATCTGTGTCATTCTAAGGGTGTATCACACATCTGTGTCATTCTAAGGGTGTATCACACATCTGTGTCATTCTAAGGGTGTATCACACATCTGTGTCATTCTAAGGATGTATCACACATCTGTGTCATTCTAAGGGTGTATCACGCATCTGTGTAATTCTAAGGGTGTATCACACATCTGTGTCATTCTAAGGGTGTATCACACATATGTGTCATTCTAAGGGTGTATCACACATCTTTGTAATTCTAAGGATGTATCACACTTCTGTGTCATTCTAAGGGTGTATCACACATCTGTGTAATTCTAAGGGTGTATCACACTTCTGTGTCATTCTAAGGGTGTATCACACATCTGTGTCATTCTAAGGGTGTATCACACATCTGTGTCATTCTAAGGGTGTATCACACATCTGTGTCATTCTAAGGGTGTATCACACATCTGTGTAATTCTAAGGGTGTATCACACATCTGTGTCATTCTAAGGGTGTATCACACATCTGTGTCATTCTAAGGGTGTATCACACATCTGTGTCATTCTAAGGGTGTATCACACATCTGTGTCATTCTAAGGGTGTATCACACATCTGTGTCATTCTAAGGGTGTATCACACATCTGTGTCATTCTAAGGGTGTATCACACATCTGTGTCATTCTAAGGGTGTATCACACATCTGTGTCATTCTAAGGGTGTATCACACATCTGTGTCATTCTAAGGGTGTATCACACATCTGTGTCATTCTAAGGGTGTATCACACATCTGTGTCATTCTAAGGGTGTATCACACATCTGTGTCATTCTAAGGGTGTATCACACATCTGTGTCATTCTAAGGGTGTATCACACATCTGTGTCATTCTAAGGGTGTATCACACATCTGTGTCATTCTAAGGGTGTATCACACATCTGTGTCATTCTAAGGGTGTATCACACATCTGTGTCATTCTAAGGGTGTATCACACATCTGTGTCATTCTAAGGGTGTATCACACATCTGTGTCATTCTAAGGGTGTATCACACATCTGTGTCATTCTAAGGGTGTATCACACATCTGTGTCATTCTAAGGGTGTATCACACATCTGTGTCATTCTAAGGGTGTATCACACATCTGTGTCATTCTAAGGGTGTATCACACATCTGTGTCATTCTAAGGGTGTATCACACATCTGTGTCATTCTAAGGGTGTATCACACATCTGTGTCATTCTAAGGGTGTATCACACATCTGTGTCATTCTAAGGGTGTATCACACATCTGTGTAATTCTAAGGGTGTATCACACATCTGTGTAATTCTAAGGGTGTATCACACATCTGCGTCATTCTAAGGGTGTATCACACATCTGCGTCATTCTAAGGGTGTATCACACATTTGTGTCATTCTAAGGATGTATCACACATCTGTGTCATTCTAAGGGTGTATCACACATCTGTGTAATTCTAAGGGTGTATCACACATCTGTGTAATTCTAAGGGTGTATCACACATCTGTGTCATTCTAAGGATGTATCACACATCTGTGTAATTCTAAGGGTGTATCACACACCTGTGTAATTCTAAGGGTGTATCACACATCTGTGTAATTCTAAGGGTGTATCACACATCTGTGTCATTCTAAGGGTGTATCACACATCTGTGTAATTCTAAGGGTGTATCACACATCTGTGTAATTCTAAGGGTGTATCACACATCTGTGTCATTCTAAGGGTGTATCACACATCTGTGTCATTCTAAGGGTGTATCACACATCTGTGTCATTCTAAGGGTGTATCACACAGCTGTGTAATTCTAAGGGTGTATCACACATCTGTGTAATTCTAAGGGTGTATCACACATCTGTGTCATTCTAAGGATGTATCACACATCTTTGTAATTCTAAGGGTGTATCACACTTCTGTGTCATTCTAAGGGTGTATCACACTTCTGTGTAATTCTAAGGGTGTATCACACTTCTGTGTCATTCTAAGGGTGTATCACACATCTGTGTCATTCTAAGAGTGTATAACACATCTGTGTAATTCTAAGGGTGTATCACACTTCTGTGTCATTCTAAGGGTGTATCACACTTCTGTGTAATTCTAAGGGTGTATCACACATCTGTGTCATTCTAAGGGTGTATCACACTTCTGTGTCATTCTAAGGGTGTATCACACTTCTGTGTCATTCTAAGGATGTATCACACATCTGTGTAATTCTAAGGGTGTATCACACACCTGTGTAATTCTAAGGGTGTATCACACATCTGTGTCATTCTAAGGGTGTATCACACATCTGTGTAATTCTAAGGGTGTATCACACATCTGTGTCATTCTAAGGGTGTATCACACATCTGTGTAATTCTAAGGGTGTATCACACATCTGTGTAATTCTAAGGGTGTATCACACATCTGCGTCATTCTAAGGGTGTATCACACATCTGCGTCATTCTAAGGGTGTATCACACATTTGTGTCATTCTAAGGATGTATCACACATCTGTGTCATTCTAAGGGTGTATCACACATCTGTGTAATTCTAAGGGTGTATCACACATCTGTGTCATTCTAAGGGTGTATCACACATCTGTGTCATTCTAAGGATGTATCACACATCTTTGTAATTCTAAGGGTGTATCACACATCTGTGTCATTCTAAGGGTGTATCACACATCTGTGTCATTCTAAGGGTGTATCACACATCTGTGTAATTCTAAGGGTGTATCACACATCTGTGTAATTCTAAGGGTGTATCACACATCTGTGTCATTCTAAGGGTGTATCACACATCTGTGTCATTCTAAGGGTGTATCACACATCTGTGTCATTCTAAGGGTGTATCACACATCTGTGTCATTCTAAGGATGTATCACACATCTGTGTCATTCTAAGGGTGTATCACGCATCTGTGTAATTCTAAGGGTGTATCACACATCTGTGTCATTCTAAGGGTGTATCACACATATGTGTCATTCTAAGGGTGTATCACACATCTTTGTAATTCTAAGGATGTATCACACTTCTGTGTCATTCTAAGGGTGTATCACACATCTGTGTAATTCTAAGGGTGTATCACACTTCTGTGTCATTCTAAGGGTGTATCACACATCTGTGTCATTCTAAGGGTGTATCACAAATATGTGTCATTCTAAGGGTGTATCACACATCTGTGACATTCCAAGGGTGTATCACACATCTGTGTCATTCTAAGGGTGTATTTAATTTTGACAAGTAAGTCAGTGAAAGTTAAATGCACGAAATCACTGAGTAATAAATAATGTCTTGTTTCTAGAAACGTACCATGTTGTTGTAAACAAAGATCTTAGTGATGACTCCCCGCTCTGCTCCATAATAAACCTGAACAAGCTTTCGAGTCTACGAAGAAATAGCAGAAATTTGGCTAAGAGATCCAATAATTTAATAACAAAATGCAATACTATTTAAAGACTAGAATAACTTGCTTATAAAGTATTGCTACCTAAAGAGAAACTATTTGCTTATAAAGTATTGTTACCTTAAAAGAAACCTTTTTGCTTTTAAAGTATTGCTACCTGAAGAGAAACTTTTTCACTATGTTTCTATATCATAGATTTTAAGAATAACTGCAATGCAACATTAGGCAATAAATTGCAATCCACAACTAAAATACTGAGCCATGCTATTTAAAGATCTGGAATAAACAAACAAACTGTGATAGAAGTTCATATTCATAAATTTCCTAGTGTTGCCTGATTTGGCAATGACCTACTGACCTTTGTATCGTAGCATCTGACCAGCCTGTCCATGCCACCAGTGAAGAGAAAACCATTGTTATAACACACAGTCTTGACCAGCCCTTGGTTGTCATGGATGGAATGTTCTACCACACCCGTCTAAATACAAAAATATGTTCATATATGTAAAGATTTAAACACAAAGGTATTTCAGTTCAGAAGTATGGATCTCCAGAATAAACGAATTAACGCATCATGAAATCAGTGACTTTTCATCCTACCATTAAGAATTTGTGTATCATATAACTTATTAAAGAGCGAGGAGGAAGGCCGGTAAATGCTGCTCCACCGCATTCGTGTGTGGGAAATGTAACAGAGACTGGCATTCGAGGATTGGTCTCACCACCCACACCAAGAGCTGCAAGCAATAAAGATAATCTATCGTCTCCCGCAGACGGAAAGATGCCATACATAACTTATTACAACGAGGAGTAACTGATGTAATCATGTCACGAATCTCTTCCAGTTTAATATCACTGTCAGAAAAGACTCGGAAAGAGAAACATGGAATTTGGGCCAAAAGTTTTTTTTTCTTTCAGACTTTTAAGGTTTTAGGATTGAGGAACCATCTAGCCATGTGCTACCACTAGAAGAACCATCTAGCCATGTGCTACCACTAGAAGAACCATCTAGCCATGTGCTACCACTAGAAGAACTATCTAGCCATGTGCTACCACTAGAAGAACCATCTAGCCTTGTGCTACCCCTAGAAGAACCATCTAGCCATGTGCTACCACTAGAAGAACCATCTAGCCTTGTGCTACCACTAGAAGAACTATCTAGCCATGTGCTACCACTAGAAGAAACATCTAGCCTTGTGCTACCACTAGAAGAACCATCTAGCCTTGTGCTACCACTAGAAGAACCATCTAGCCTTGTGCTACCACTAGAAGAACTATCTAGCCATGTGCTACCACTAGAAGAACCATCTAGCCTTGTGCTACCACTAGAAGAACCATCTAGCCTTGTGCTACCACTAGAAGAACTATCTAGCCATGTGCTACCACTAGAAGAACCATCTAGCTTTGTGCTACCACTAGAAGAACCATCTAGCCTTGTGCTACCACTAGAAGAACCATCTAGCCATGTGCTACCACTAGAAGAACTATCTAGCCTTGTGCTACCACTAGAAGAACCATCTAGCCTTGTGCTACCACTAGAAGAACTATCTAGCCATGTGCTACCACTAGAAGAACCATCTAGCCATGTGCTACCACTAGAAGAACTATCTAGCCTTGTGCTACCACTAGAAGAACCATCTAGCCTTGTGCTACCACTAGAAGAACTATCTAGCCTTGTGCTACCACTAGAAGAACCATCTAGCCTTGTGCTACCACTTTTCAGAATATTTTTTTTTTTTAAATAATCATAATTTTTAATAATAATTTAAAAGTTTTCTGACAAATTCCCTGATTTAACACAATAAAAATCAAATCTTACTCAGATAAATAATCATTCACTACAGCATTGATAAGTAATTTTAACAAGACTGATTCAGATTTTATGGACTTGTGTTGAGTTATTATTTGACTTACATGTAAATTATGAATGATGACACAACTGTCACCTGATCCACTGTACACAAAGGGACCATCAACCTAGCAGGAGAAACAATATAGACATAAATATCAACCTAGCCATAGAAACAATATAGACATAAATATCAACCTAGCCATAGAAACAATATAGACATAAATATCAACCTAGCCATAGAAACAATATAGACATAAACATCAACCTAGCCATAGAAACAATATAGACATAAACATCAACCTAGCCATAGAAACAATACAGACATAAACATCAACCTAGCCATAGAAACAATATAGACATAAACATCAACCTAGCCATAGAAACAATATAGACATAAACATCAACCTAGCCATAGAAACAATACAGACATAAACATCAACCTAGCCATAGAAACAATATAGACATAACCATCAACCTAGCCAAAGAAACAATACAGACATAACCATCAACCTAGCCATAGAAACAATACAGACATAAACATCAACCTAGCCATAGAAACAATACAGACATCCCATTTTCCATGTACTCAGATTGGGTCAAATGCTGACTGTAAGCTAACTTGAATCTCTGTCTGTGGTATTAAGCGTCAACGAACCTGCAAGGAAAATGATGTCTTTGTGTGTCCTGTGAGGATCCTCAATGGCAGAGAAGTGTGAGCATTGACAATGAGAATGGTTCCGTCTTGAGAAGAAACACACAGCAGTTTTGATGAGCCCTCTTGTGCTGGTGCCAGGCAGTGGATGGGATGGTCACAACAGATAAAACGATCAGTCTCTGTCATTTTCTGTGGATGGGATGGTCACAACAGATAAAACGATCAGTCTCTGTCATTTTTCTGTGGTTGGGATGGTCACAACAGATAAAACAATCAGTCTCTGTCATTTTTCTGTGGTTGGGATGGTCACAACAGATAAAAAGATCAGTCTGTCATTTTCTAAAGTAAGAGTGTAAATAAAACATCTAAACATTTTTTTTTAATATACATGTATAAATATTTTGAATAAGGGATATTTATTTGTACATCAACTTTTGAGCATTCTTTGCCTTCAGGGCAGAAGTTCATGTCATTTTCTACAGGGGTTTTGATCAGTTGTGTAGCGGCACACTAGTTTGTCATCAAAGGTTCACAGGTGTACCATAAGATTTTAATAAAAAGAACTAAAAATATAGTAGATTGGGGAGGAAAGTTTTACAAAGAAATGATGGCCACAAAGATGGGACATAATCTATTTAATCACTACAGCCTATGGAGGCTGCAGCGCACAGAAAAAGCCGTTATTTTTGTGTATACTTCCATTAACAAATGTTCCAGGTATTTGGCAAATAGTTTGAATGTGTCATAAGATAAAAAAAGATTGAGTCAATGTCTTAGAAGGATGCCTTTAGATTGCTTCCACCACATTACCTTTGTATCAAACACACTGATCTCTCCAGTTGCCAGACCTACATAAATAATATGTTCCAGCATCAGCAGACATTTAACAGGTGTGCCCATGTCAAAGCTGACTTGATCAAGTTCCCTTGGCTGTTTTTGCTGTAAAAACAGGTATAGTAAAAGAAGTGTAGATCAAATATTATATGATATTTTGAAACTTTTTATTGGCAATGAATTTGGAAAGAAACTTCATTAAGCTTACTTTTGACTCAAACTTTGTACCTTGAATTATTCTTTATTTAATATAACTTAGTTTATGACTCCTTTCAGTCTATATAATTTCAAGATCCTGAGCTGACTTATCACTGATTCTCCTCTGTCTTGTATATCCAAGATGTTAAAACTTGTTCAAATGCTTATAAGATTTTATTTGGGAAAGAAAGTTATTCAGATTTCAATTAAAAAGCTTCTTTTGTTATTTTTTGCTTTTTTTTTTTTTTTTTTTTTTTTTGTGCTTATTTGACACTCCTAGGACTCTTTGAGTAATCAGGAACAAATATTGTGTGGTTGATATTTAGAACTCTCCAATAATGGCTTCATCAAACCCTCTGGATTTATCAGGTGTTTAAAATGCTTTAAATGTCATGTATTTTTGTTTTTTGTTGAGGGCAATCATGAGGAAGAGATGACGTTGGAGGTAGGAGACATGATTGATCTCCCAGAACACCCAAGACATCCATTATTTAGTGTAGGAGATGTGGGTGATCTCCCAGGATATCCAGGACATCCATTATTTAGGGTAGGAGATGTGGGTGATCTCCCAGAATATTCAGGACATCTATTATTTAGGGTAGGAGATGTGGGTGATCTCCCAGGATATCAATTATTTGGGGTAGGAGACACAGGTGATCTCCCAGAACGTCAAGACCTCTTCAGTCAACCTTCGCTCCTAATGTAATCTAACACGACTTCAGTCAACCTTCACTCCTAATGTAATCTAACACGACTTCAGTCAACCTTCTCCCCTGATGTCATAAAAACCCTTTTATTCTCTGATTTTTGAAGTGTATCACTAATGTAAACCTGCTATTTGTGTTGTAACTTACTGTATCACAGAATGAAAGCTTCCCTCCCAGACCTGTCACAAGAGTTGTACAACCTTTCAGCTTGGCCACAGTCATACAATGCAGACAGCTGGATGAATAACGAGCCATGGCTTCCTGAAAGGCATTTGTCGTATTTTAAAATCACTTAAAACTGTTCTTAAAATATCATTTTGGTCAGCTGATGGGATAAACAAATAAAAATATATATAAACAAACAGTAACTGGTACTGCAGGTCAGCTAGCCACAGTAGCCAGACATTGCCTAGACAGAACGCAGACATTGCCCAGACAGTACCAGACATTGCCCAGACAGTAGCCAGACATTGCCCAGACAGTAGCCAGACATTGCTCAGACAGTACCCAAAATTCATATGGCCAGAATAACATTCAAACTATGACCAACAAAGACTACTTGTTTTGTGAGAACAGGCAATGTAACACACTTCCCTGACTTGACACCACTGACCTACTAACAGGCACATCTAAATATAAACCCTTTGACACACTTTTCCACAAAATAATTTTATCGTACTGGTCAAACAGAATTTTATTACTCCTAACAGAAATTAAGATTATTTAGCTATGAAAAACCAATAAGGTTAGAGCTTTATTAGGGATTTTTATTATATCAAGTTAACATTTTTTGGTCAAGACTGTAGCCTTGTTTTTGAACAATTGAATATTTGCAATAACAAAAACAAAACAATTATTGGACAAAATGTGAAAACATGTCAACTTACAGAGCTGGTGTCAAGCAGGCTAAAGATCTGAACACCAAAACTGGAGTAGGCCACATATAAACTCCCTTCCAAGACCTGCAGTTCAATAACTGGCCCGTAGTTGCCTGGGAAACGGGACATTTTCCTATCCAGGTCAAGGTGGGTGTCGGCCAAAGTTTCCTGAGCTTTGCCGTCAAAATTATATGATGAGCTTTTCCCCTCCTTATGTTTACCAGATTCATACGATCTGCTTGCAATTAAAGCATCTTCTGTACGCACACTGCCACTGTCAGGCATTATTTGACTCGACTCGTCTGTTTTCTTAGCCCTGAAATCTTGTTCATCATCAGAGCTGTCGCACAGGACTGTGACTTCTGGAGATCTGACTGGTCTACCAAAGGCTCGATCCAACCTTTTCATTTCTTTCAAAATTTTTATACGCTCTGTAATACTGAAATGGATTAAAAATCAAAAAATGGTAATGAGTCAATGAAGTATTTTTCTCAAAACTAAAGGTACTTATCATTAAAATAAGAGTTTTCCTCATTTAATCATAATAATGATAATGACTATTAATTTTACGATTAAATTTGTTTGCTTAAAAGTATAGAAGTAAAGCGCTTTATAAGAATCCAAATTGGCGACATACCCTTCCACCCCCAGACTCACAACTGCACATTTTTTCACGCCCCCTGAACTCCATTAACATTCTAATGCCCCGCCCCCTTTTACATCCCAGATTTAGTGCACCAACTATTTCATAAAAACAAAAGAAAATATTGTGCACCAACACACTTGCAATATTTTTTTAGTAAGATCTCTTTTAGCAGAGTTATCAGGAATATTATTTTCTGAAATCAATGTTCTCGTATTGCCTTCATCTTCCCCTTGAAAAGAAGAAAAAACTGATTTTGGGGGGTGGAGCTGAAAATTTGAAAGAATATGTTGTCATTGGCAACAAGTCTATGTGCCAAGTTTCAGCTCGATAGGTTGACATGAAGTGGGTTAATTAGCCATCCAAAAATTTTTCCAGCCAGTTAGCCATGTAAAAAGGGAAGTTAATACAAAGGATTTTTAAAAAGGGTAAAATTTCTTTAAAATATTTAAGACCTGCTTTTTAAGTGGCTTATACACCTCGGGACTTATTTCATTTTTTATTTTGCATGAGAATTGCCATTTATTCTGAACACTATATTCTGTATACTGACCCCTCTGAATCAAACAAGCTTACACTTGTGGCCTATATTCTGTATACTGACCCCTCTGAATCAAACAAGCCTACACTTGTGGCCTATATTCTGTATACTGACCCCTCTGAATCAAACAAGCCTACACTTGCAGACTATATTCTGTATACTGACCCCTCTGAATCAAACAAGCCTACACTTGCGGACTATATTCTGTATACTGACCCCTCTGAATCAACCAGGCCTACACTTGTAGATGAATCACAGGCTGCAATAGTCACAACTGCAGATTTGGTGGGCGTCGAGACTCCTAAATCCGACACAGGCGCTAAAGTTGTGGTTGACCTCTCCTTCCCTGGTGTGCTCCTATCACTGCAGTTCTTCTCGCACGAAGAGACCCTTTCATCATTTCTAGTGGGAGATGCAACTGTTTGCACTTTGACCTCTCTGTCAGGCTCCGCTGACTTCTGAGCTTCATCAGATGATGAGGAGAAAAAGATATGCTGACGACGCAACCTCCTCAACCCACTAATGTCTCTCTCCTGTCGTGTTCGCCTCTTTTTCTTTTTGCCACCGTCTGAACTGACTGCCGAGGGACAGACAGATACAGAGTCCTCAAAGTTCCTCTCCATCAGATGCAAGGCCTCTGCTGATTTTATAGCTTGTTTGTCCAGAGTGCCATAATTGTCTGTTAAAGAAATTTTTTTTACAAATATTGATAAATCATTTACCTGATGACATGTACATATATGGATTAAAAATTGACCCAGATTTCAAAGGTTGAATCATAATAATGTATAGTGCTGCTTTACGAGACGGAATCAACAATCGCTTGTCCCTAGAATGTCCTATTCACTTATGCTCTCCATATGATTTTTTTTATTGTTGGTAAAGATTCATCTGACATGTGTGTACTTTATCGCTAGCATTTCCTGCCCCTAACTACCTGACAACTACTATACCTTTGGCAGACTGTGTGTCTATTCTATCCAGGGGGACTGAACAAGGCCGTATCATTTTTGACCAGCTGTTCATTTCATCCAAGCATTCGTTTCCTCTTGGCAACATGGTTAAACTTTGGTCGCACGTGTCTGACATGATTGTAGACAGAGAATTCTTTCCATATCCCCTGCCAGATTCAAACGAGGCATTGTTGCGACAGTAGAAAGAAATTTTTTCTCCTAGGGAACTCCCACTAACAATGCTGCAGCAGCTTGCCCCACTAATAGTGTCAGAATCTTCTCCACCACAGAGCTGGGTGTTGTTTGATTTGAAAGGCTTGGGCAGAGATACCATATCTAGGATACAATAAATCATAAGTAATACAATTAATAAAACGTGTTTAGCTTCTTGGTATAGAAAAGAGACACATGGTATTTTTAACATAAATTAAAAACCCTTTATATTTACTTCACTTTTGTTCATGTGTTTGTGGCAAAATCTTCGGAAGGCTAAATGGCCCATTTTCCCGTTATCTTATTGAGCTGAAACTTGGCACAAAGACCTGTTGCCGATGACAACACACTCTATCAGATTTTCAGCCCAACCTCCAAAAATCAGCTTTGAATAATTTTTGGGGGTGGGGGTGTTAATGCTTTGTTCAATAGTTGCACATTTTGGTGTGGAGATTAGTATTTTAGCTGTTGCTATGTGCTTTCTTTTTGTGACATATTTGGGTATGCAGTAAAAAAAATATGTATTTTTGAAAGCCGAAATGAAGGAAATATGAACCGTGTTTTCATCAGAAGTTTACTCATTTATAAAACCGCATCTTAATAAATGATAAATCACGTACAATGACATAAATGCAAACATATTTAAAATATTTAAAAGAAAAACTTTATTTTTAGGCAAAGTTCCCCAAATAATTTTCTTTGTGCTGCTCTATATTGAATTACACAAACAGTTTTTGCAGTGCATTGATTGTTGCATTCTTGAGCAGAATGTCTTGCTTGCCATCACAGATAATGTGGTGACTCTAAATGATGATGCTATTTTCTCAGAGGTATCATTTTTACATTGTGATGAAACCAACTGACAATGCAAGCAGTCCACAAAGTTTTACAGTTGAACAAACAGTGTACAGATTTGTTGTTGGTGCAATAGAAGCCACTGCCTTTTCCTTTTGGTTTCACTTGCTGTCTTTAGGGTCATTGTATCAATTTGATCATTGACAAATATCAATCTGAGTTTTGATCCATAAATATTTAAAATTTCTCTCCTCCCCAGCTGTCTTTAGGGTCATTGTATCAATTTGATCATTGACAAATATCAATCTGAGTTTTGATCCATAAATATTTAAAATTTCTCTCCTCCCCAGCTGCCTTTAGGGTCATTGTATCAATTTGATCATTGACAAATATCAATCTGTGTTTTGATCCATAAATATTTAAAATTTCTCTCCTCCCCAGCTGTCTTTAGGGTCATTGTATCAATTTGATCATTGACAAATATCAATCTGAGTTTTGATCCATAAATATTTAAAATTTCTCTCCTCCCCAGCTGTCTTTAGGGTCATTGTATCAATTTGATCATTGACAAATATCAATCTGAGTTTTGATCCATAAATATTTAAAATTTCTCTCCTCCCCAGCTGT